AGTAGTGGAGGGAAGGTTTCAATTTGGAAGGAGCCAAATGCGGTCAGGTATCCAGCAGTTGGCGCTGTGCACAGAAAATGCCCATTTTATTGAATGCGGAGTTGATTGTTTTGTCACCTTAATATGCACAAACGTCAAAATGTTTCTGTTAATGGGTCTAATTTCTGACGTGCTCATTTTTAAACTCGATGGATGAGCAATTTTTTTCTTTATACTGGTTTCATATATGAGGAGTTTAGCTTAACTCTTGGTAATTATTCAAAAATGAATAAGTTACATAATTTCATGATTATGTTTTTCTTTTGTCCTCTGGGGTGGGGGCATGGTACTTGGCGGGCACTCAAGGCGTCTCGAAACGCCCCTGGTTGTCACGTGATTTCGCGCAAAGTCACAAGCCTTCTTCACATGACGTCACCCAAACAGCGAGCGCAAACGCGTCGCTCTTCCATCCGCAAGCTTGACAAAAAGATGCTCTTACGCACACTTGACTTCATTCATCAAGAAAATATTAGCCACCGAATTCAAACGCACGCAGTTTTTTTTTTTGGGGGGGGGAATTTGAATGGAAACATAAACAAGCGCACAACTGTGTTAAAGGCACGCAGTTGGCAGTGACTTTGAGGGCGTGCGCTAAGTGACGTCATGACATTTTATGGCTTGAACGGGGGAGTATCCGGTGAGCGTTTTGCTTGTTTGCCGTCGTTCGACGTCGGGCAATCGAGGACAAGTTGGGCTCTCGACAGAAACCAGCGAAACATGTGGAAGATGAACTTGTTGCCGCTGTTTGTGGTGGCTGTGCAATTCCGCAGCGTGACGCCTGGTAAGTGCGCAACTTGCACTTTGCAACTCGGTTCTATCAATCGTCTGCAAATCATTCATTTTGACGCCCTTTTCCGGAATTCGGCGACACTTCATGTTCGTTCAGTCCAACGCTCCACCCTCTCTTCTACCGAAATAAGACAAGAGTATTACTGTATATTAAATCAGGAGTACCCAAACATTTGGGACCGAAGATCGACGTTTTCGATCAAGCAACCTCCCACAATCGATCCGTTACCGCGCACGCACATACACACTAAACAAACTCTGAATGAGAATTATGATAACGATAAGCTCCGATCACAAGCTGCAACTTCTGATGACGCAGGTCACGGGCCAGCGTAGGTTAAAGATTTACCTGCTTTATTTTAGAATTTTTTTTGAATACTTTTTGTGAAAATGAGACTGATGTGATGATTAGGGTGCAGTGTACACTAACACAAAAATATATTACTCACATGCACAAAGACACACAAATGGTTGTTTGTGTTTTTTCTCCTCTACCCCCCTCACGATCGACTTGGGACCAGTCCGCGATCTACCGGTCGAGCGCGATTGACGTAATGGGCACCCCTGTATTAAATAGTTTCCACTGCGGTAGGTTGTCGACAAAGTTACTCACCTAAAATTACCAAAATCTTGTATGATATTTATAATCTTTGTTGACCATTGAATAAAAAGCACCATGAAGTGATTTAAATGACTATGCAAGACAAAATGTGATTTGTATTTCAATAAAAAAATGCTGGAAGAATGTTATTGTTAAGTATACAAATGTTTCTGGATGTGACAATATTTTTTGGACATAAAACAATCTGAATTTTTTTTCTTTTTCTTTCAGTGATTCACTCGCTCAAGTTTTTCCAAACGATGTCCTCTGAAATTCCACACTTCCCAGACTACTTGATGGTTGGTCATCTTGACGATGTTCTGATTTCACGCTACGACAGCAAGAGCAGGAAATTTGAAGCCAAACTGGAATGGATGCACAAAGTGACAACGGATGTTCCACACTACAGGGAGAGACAAACCCAGTACAATATTGGCCTTGAAAAGACCTTAAAAGTCAACTTTGAAATTGCGAAAGAGCGCTTCAACCAAACTGGGGGTTTGTTGACCATCAGCTTTGCACTCTTCACATTGATTTCATGTTCTCTTTAACTTTTTGACGACTGATAAATACGCACATACCTACGTTATACACACTATCGATTATTTCTGTGCATCGTGTCACGGGAACTTGCATGCATGTGTGTGGGTGTGTGTGCGCGTGTGCACGATGTCTCAGGTGTTCACATGATCCAAGTGATGACTGGCTGCGAATGGGACGATGAGACGGACGAGGTGGTGGACGGTTGGGAACACCTCAGTTACGACGGAGAAGACTTCCTGTCGTTTGAGTTGCAGACGCAGAGATGGATCGCAATCCAGCAACAAGCTTTCGACACCAAACACAAGTGGGACCAATTGGACAACCTTAATGAATACTGGAAATATTACATAAGAGAGAGCTGTCCTCATTTGTTGAAGATGTTTGTGAGCGACGGGGTGGTGGACCTCCTCGTGAGAACAGGTACGATCATGTCACATTGGGAATCGTACACCTTCCACCTTCTCGTTTACTCTTCTCAGTCCGTTGTTTCCAGTTTTTGAAGTGAGGGTGCGAGAGGGGAGAAGCGGCAGTGAAACAGACCAAAGTGTCAAAATAAGTCAGAAGTTGAGCTCTGCACATTTCTTCTTGAATCGTCGCAGGCGATGGATTCCAGAGTACTGGAGCCCCAGTAGGACATGATTAAGAAACTGTGAAATTGTTTGTTGTCTTTCTGGGGAGTCACCAAAACACAAGCGTGTTGTGAATGACCTCAACTTGCTTTCAGGAAACTTGTTCCTAATTCTTTTCATCTTTGGGATTCTTGTACATTCTACGCATGGCGGACTTTGCGCGCAGAGCTCCCGGTGA